AATATATAAACGTAACATATTTTTCTTAAATATATACATGCATGTGTAAATAAATATATACAGTACAGACACACGTTATGCAAACAAAAACGTTTATTTTGTAAGCGATTAATCGCGATTAATCGTTTGACAGCACCAATATATATATATATATATATATAAGGCAAGGCAACATTTATCATGTTTTATTTAGTTTAAGTTAATGTGCTAAAATTACTAAAACTAATACTGAAATAAAAATTTATAAAATAAATATATACAGTACAGACACACGTTATGCAAACAAAAACGTTTATTTTGTAAGCGATTAATCGCGATTAATCGTTTGACAGCACCAATATATATATATATATAAGGCAAGGCAACATTTATCATGTTTTATTTAGTTTAAGTTAATGTGCTAAAATTACTAAAACTAATACTGAAATAAAAATTTATAAAATAAATATATAGGCGCTTTAAAAACTCATAAAAGTGACAAAAAACAATACAAATTTGCTAACTTAAATTTAAATATTTATAATACAAAATATTTATATTTCAGTGATACTAAAACTGCACATTTTATAATGTAAATAGACAATGTTTTTAATTTTTAATGTTTTTCTTGTATTAATCTGAAATGCCAAATATAGATTTTTTTGTGCATTTGTTCATCTTTGTTTTTGCCATTAAGAGTTTAGGATTTTAGTCTTGCTAAAATTATAAATATAAATTCACTGCACATTTGATACCAATAATACATTTCAATTGACCTTTCAGAGAGCAATGCTTAGGCATTAATATTTAAATACCAAATGACAAAATTCCTGAAAATAGTTTTAAAAAGATTTTAATGACATTTGTCATTAACATTTTTAACAAATTTTTAATTAACATTAAATTTGTCATTTGACATTTGTGTCCTGAATCTTTTTTTATAATTGCAATACGGCACTACAGGTCATGTTAAGTTGAGAATGCGGTGATTTTTTTATTACCAAAAAAATTAATTTATTCGGAATAACAACATTTCAAAAGGAGAACAAACAAATAAAGAAACTGCAATATCTCATTTCATCATATCAAACACCTTGCAATACATAGTGTAAAAATCAATCAGTGAAATCCAAACTACATAATTTTTTGCGACCCCAGTGTCAAGATAGCTGTGATTTATTAATTATGTGTAATATTCTAAACTTATTTAAAGTGAGGTCTGGGTTGTGAATGTGTTCCCTCAGACACGCAGTGAGCTCCGTGAGATACAGGAGGTTCAGCGGGAGCTCAATAAGACCATCGAGCTCTACAGCAAAGCTCTGAACGACAGCACGACCAGCCTGGCCGACCTTGACCAGCTCATCGCTGAGGAGAGCTCCACCGCTGACGCCAAGGTCAGGAATGCCCTCCTCATGTGCTCCTGTGGGCTGAAGTGCACCTGCTTTTGAGAGACACAGGTGTATGTGTACGTTGAACTTTAGGCTGATGATACACGGGGCAACTTTTTGAGCAATATTGTTGGCATCAACAGGCAACTAGGTGAGACACAGGGCCTACGACTGATTTAAAGTATCCAGATAGAAATTTGTTACCCATTCTCAGTGGGAAAGTGCCCAAGCTACATTGCTCAAAAAAAGTTGCCCGGCAAAATTGCTCAAAAAGTTGCCCCGTGTTTCTTCAGATTTTCCAGGTTGTTTCAACTCAAACTGAGTGGACAAATGTGTGACCTGAGTGAAACCAAGCAAATAGTAACCAGATTTACTTATTTAGCTGTTTGTGAAACGAGTTTAAAGAATTAGAGGGTTCCCCATGCTCATAGAAATACCAGGAGTTTTTGAAACTTTTGAAGCTTTTCGATTAGTTTGAATTTTATTCAGCTTTTAGTTGTATATTATAGTTGCTCATTTTTTAAATTACTAAATGTTTTTAATTTTAGTTTTGTCCTTTTTTGTTAGTTTTAACTTATTTCTATTTCTATATTTACTATTTCAGTTTTAGTTTGAGTAATTTTTGTACTTCAGTTCGATGCCAAAGCAACATCTCTGATTTTCACTTGAGTTTTGTTTTCATCTTTACGTTTTTAATCTAATATTTATATTTTATCTCAGCACTCTTTAAATGAGTGAAAATTATTTTTAATAGTTTTAGTTTTAACTGATAAAATTATGTGCCATTTTAAACTTAAGTAATTAATACTGATGAAATCTTGACTATAATATACAGGGAAAAAAACTGTCAAAAGACAAATGTTTTTGAAATTGTGATGACGAAGCTTTTAGTTGTTTATTTGTAGCAATTACCATTTTTGTTTAAATTATTAAATGTTTAAAACATTTTTTTTAAGTTTAAATTTGATAACATTTGGTCTGTTATATTTTTACACATTTAATTTTAATACTTGTTTAGTGCTTGTTTTAGTCATTTCCTTTGACCAGTGTTATTTTATCATTATTTGCATAGAATTTATTAATATATTTTGAATTAGCTTTTATTTTTGTATTTTTACTTTTACTTTTCATTTTCATTTTAGTTTGTTTTATTTAACTTTATTTTTATTTCAGTTTTAGTAATTTTAGTATTTTAACTTATTATAGTTTTAGTTTTGTCCGTTTTTATGTTTTAACTTATTTATAATTCTATGTTTCTATTTCAATTTTAGTTTGAGCAATTTTTGATGCCAAAGCAAAATTTTTTATTTTCACTTGAGTTTTTTTTCATCTTTACGTTTTTAATCTAATATTTATATTTAATTTAATTTAATTTTATTTTATTTTATAAAATGATTTTTTCTTTTAAACAACTTTTAGTTGTTTAATTATAGCAATGGCCATTTTTGTTTAAATTATTAAATGTTGTACTTTTTTTTTTTTTTTTTAAGTTTAAATTTGATAACATTTGGTCAGTTACATGTTACTTGTTTTAGTCATTTCCTTTGACCAGTGTTATTTTATCATTATTTACATAGTATTTATTAATATTTTGTGTATTTTTACTTTTCATTTTAATTTTTGTTTGTTTTATTTCACTTTAAATTATTTAACTTTATTTTTATTTCAGGTTTAGTAATTTTAGTATTTTAACTTAAACATATATTATTTTAGTTATTTGCCACAGCAAGATTTCTCATTTTTTTCTCCCCAAATATTGATATTTTATTTCATTTCAGCTCCATTTCAATTACTGAACACTTTTTATATTTAATAGTTTATGTTAGCAAACATAATAACATAACATAACATTGTGATTTCCAGTCCTCGAAAAAAAAACATGGAAATGTAATCATGGAAACTACAAATATTTAATTGGCTAAAAATCTCTGTGAAAAGATTTTATCCGGTAATAATGAATGATGAAATATTCTTAGTCAAAAAGGTTTGGAAACTCTGGTTATCAGTGTATTTAGTGTAAACATGTTTTCTGTTTGTTTTTACTAATTGAGGAGTAATTTACTAAGTGCCTTACTAAAAACCAGTGCTGTCAAACGATTAATCGCATCCAAAATAAAGGTTTTGTGTACATAATATATGTGTGTACTTTGTATATTTATTATGTATGTATAAATATACACACATACAGTAATAAATATATTTAATATATAAACAAAATTTTTCTGAAATATATACATGCATATTTGTGTATTTATACATACATAATAAATATACACATATATTATGTAAACAAAAACTTTTATTTTGGATGCGTACAATAATTACTTTGTTTTTGATCAAATAAATAAAGCCTTGGTGAGCAGAAGAGATTTTCAAAAACATTAAGAATATTAAACTTTTGACCAGTAGTGTGTAATCATTTGACACATCAAAAAATGATCCGTTTAGAGATAAAATATGGTAAGTGATGTTGCGCCACGTCTCTTTGTTTGTTGTTGTTCATTATCTCCTTATCTTTTCGTCTCTTCGTCTGTTAGAGGAAGCTAGTTGGTCTTCTTAGTACCAGAGTGATGCATGATTCAGAGAGTAGATCAAAGATAGAGTCGTAAGAACCAGCTTTCACACAAACACTTAAGTAACACTTTAGTAGTGAAGTTAATAAAGACAGTGGAATAATTATAATCATACAGTGTCATGATGCAGCTTTCAACTGAGGCCTACAAGTCTTCAATAACACACATGGCTCGTTTCTACTGAACAGTACGGTACGCAATTATTTCTGTTTCCACTGTCAGAAGTTGTGAATGGTACCAAAATAGCGAACCATACCACTTTTTTGGTACCCTTCCTTTGGGGTACCTAGCACAGCAAAGTGTACCAAAAGGGCAGAGTTAAACTTACTGCAGAACGTTGATTGGTTGACTTAGAATCATCACTTTTGCGTGATACAAGGGGATAAAGCGTCCTTCACTCATTCCGCTCTGCTGTCCATGAGTGATCGGCTTATTTACATCAGAGTGCGCAAACACAAAAAAATATAACTGTGTATTTTATAATTTTATACTTTCACACAGACAATAGCCGTTTCTCAATATGCGTTCTTGTCTGTTCTTGTGGACTTGTGAAACGCCATTGCCCAAATACCCACGTAATTTTCTAAATGTTACTGTTATTGTGTCATGAAATTTAGTTTTAAGAGTTGTGCTTATTGTCGCGCTTTATCGTTGATCGCTACTTTCAGTCATACACCACGCCTACCAAGTAAGGGTACTATTGGCAGTGGAAACGCAAGCCTGATCAGGGTTACCCATAACGAAACGTACTGCACTGTACTGTACCATACCGCTCAGTGGCAACGAGCCAATAAATCCTCTTTTTGGTTGGACACAGTAATAACGTTTACATTTAGTGTATGTATGTGTCTGTATATATATACATTTTTTTAAGTGGGTAAAAAACTGATATATACGTTTTAAAATATGTTCACGTACATATGTGTACCAATATATTATATTTTTTGGCTTTTTAAAAATATTTTAATATTTTATTTTTATTAAATAAAATTAACAATTCGCCTAACTCTCGCATGCTCTTTAAAACATTTTCCTCTCTCCTTTGTCCTCCTCCCCCTTCTTCATCAACTCTAACAGCTGACGACTTTGCCACATTCTTCTTTAATAAAATTACAAACCTCAGTGCACAATTTGCCACACCACAAACTGTCAAACACATCTTACCAGCAAACATACACTCGTTTTCATCCTTCTCTCCACTCTCTGAGGCAGAAGTCTCTAACCTCATCCTTTCCAATCATCCTACTACTTGTCTGCTTGATCCTATTCCATCTCATCTCCTTCAAGCCATTTCTCCTGCCGTTGTACCTGCACTCACTCACATCGTTAACACATCCCTTCACACTGGTGTTTTTCCCTCAGCATTTAAACAGGCTCGTATAACCCCACTTCTTAAGAAACCCACTCTTAACCCAACTCTTTTAGAGAACTACAGACCGGTTTCCCTTCTACCTTTCATTGCAAAAACACTTGAACGAGTTGTGTTCTACCAAGTCTCAATCTTTCTCACACAGAACAACCTCCTGGACAGCAACCAATCTGGCTTCAGAAGTGGACATTCGACCAAGACTGCCTTGCTTTCAGTTGTTGAAGCCCTAAGACTGGCAAGAGCAGCGTCCAAATCTTCTATACTTATTTTGCTGGATCTGTCTGCTGCTTTCGATACGGTGAACCACCAGATTCTCCTGTCAACCCTATTGGAAAATGGCATCTCAGGAACCCCACGCCAGTGGTTTGAGTCTTACCTCTCAGATAGGTCCTTCAAGGTATCTTGGAGAGGTAAGGTGTCCAAGTCGCAACATCTAGCTACTGGGGTGCCTCAGGGCTCAGTACTTGAACCACTTCTCTTCTCTGTCTACATGGCATCACTAGGTTCTGTCATTCAGAAACATGGCTGCACCCCTTTACCTAAATTCATTACTTCAGAGTTATGTGCCCTCTAGAAGCTTGCGTTCTGCAAGTGAACAGCGTATTATTGTGCCATCTCAAAGAGGCACAAAATCACTTTCACTGACTTTTTCATTAACTGTTCCCTCCTGGTGGAATGACCTGCCCAAATCAATCCGAGCAGCTGAGTCCTTAACCATATTCAGGAGACTAAAAACATATCTGTTCCACCTTTATTTGACCCTCTAACTCTAACACTTTCTATTCTATTTTAATTCTACTTTATCTATATTTATCTTCTTTTTTATTTATTTTTTTATTTTTTATTTTTATTAAAACAACAACAACAAAAAACAAACAAACACTAGCTTTCTATTTTTTCTGTTCTATCTACTTGTTTTTCTTTGTGTGTGTGTGTATAAAATATATATATATATATACACACACACCTTGCTACGTGCACTGCGTTAGGCTAACTGAGACTTGTCATTTGCACTTATATGTTGTTGCTCTTTTGCTAGTTTTGACCGCTTTTATTGTCCTCATTTGTAAGTCGCTTTGGATAAAAGCGTCTGCTAAATGACTAAATGTAAATATTCTATTATTCTATACAACATTTGCATTGGGTCTAAATGTAGGCTACTGTAAGATTGGAAATGTATTTTCTTGACCATTTTTATATATTTGATATGTACAGTGGGGAAAAAAAGTATTTAGTCAGCCACTAATTGTGCAAGTTCTCCCACTTAAAAAGATGAGAGAGGCCTGTAATTTTCATCATAGGTATCATTGTCCTGCTGCAGAACAAAAGTTCGCTTCAGCTTGAGGTCACAAACAGATGTCCAGCCATTCTCCTTCAGGATTTTTTGGTAAACAGCAGAATTCATAGTTCCGTATATGAAGGGTTGAAACACATATTACATATTACATATTTCATATATATATATATATATATATATATATATATATATATATATATATATATATGTGCTCTCTAAAAATATATCGTGATTTGTATGTGTACTGTGTATATTTTTTATGTATATATAAATACAAACACATACATGTATATATTTAAGAAAAATATGTTATGTTTATATATTAAATATATTTATATATAATATAAGAATATATACTGTATGTATGTGTATTTTTAAAAAGTAGAGTTCAGCGTTTGTTTTGAGACATTGCCTCAAAATTTCCTGTGGCATGATTTTATTAATAGCGCTTTTACGTACACGTTTAGCTACAGGCCTTCCGAAAATAGTCCCGTCAGAACAGGGAACGCTTTGTGACTAAGCGTAACAGAAAAGTGTCAGGAATCCACACAGCTGTCTTCTCTCTCTCTCTCTCTCTCTGTTTCTGCCCTGCTCACGCTGAACAGGTAAGCTCTTTCTGCGCGTCCCGTCGGAGGAAGCGGGGTTCATTTATGGGAAACACGCAGATAGACGTGCTCCTGAAATAACTCTTTTTACGAGAACACAAGAGAGTGTGTTCGGAGCTGTTAGAGGTCTCACACTTACAGATGCGTGCAGGAAACTCACACGCATTTTACTAGCTCAGCTTTCTCACAGCAAACATACGACTTTTTTCCTTCTTCATAACTTTGTCTGTGTTCATAATTGGGTCATTCTTGTTGTAAACCTTTAGAACTCTAGCTTTTGTATGTAATTGTAATTTTAAGAAGCATTTCTTTGGATGTAACAAGTTTCGGAAAAAAGGATGCATTAAATTGATCAAAAGTGACAGTAAAGGCATTTATCATGTTGCTGTTTCAAATAAATGCTGTTCTTTTGAACTTTCTATTCATAAAAAGATGCAATCCTGCACACTACACTCTTAAAAATAAAGGTGCTTCACGATGCCATAGAAGAACCTTTTTGTCTAAATGGTTCCATAAAGAACCTTTAACATCTTATAAAAAGTTATAAAAGAGATGGTTCTTTAAAGAACCTTTGACAGAATGGTTCGTTATGGAACCAAAAATGGTTCTTCTATGGCATCGCTTGAAGAACCTTTTGAAGCACCTTTATTTTTAAGAGTGTATCTATACTTGCTAAATATAAAAAAATCACAAGCAACGTTTCGGTCCACTGACCTTCATCAGGCATATGTATACTATTAAAGACAAGACATTTTTAAAATACACTTCCAACCAATGAATGTCATCGACACTACATGTGGACCAATCACCAACTCATATGTCATAAATGACAAGGGGCTTAAATATCCAATAGAAAACACTTTACAACATTACGAACAAGTGATGTTCCATTATTTAAACGCAAAGATAACCTTTCGTTTTTTCAGGTGTGCTGAGTTTGTGTTGATTAAACTTTCTGTTCATCAAAGAATACTGAAAAATAAAATGTATCACAGTTTCCACAAAAATATTCAGCAGCACAACTGTTTTCAACATTGATAATAATCAGAAATGTTTCTTGAGCATCAAATCAGCATATTAGAATGATTTCTGAAGATCATGTGACACTGAAGACTGGAGTAATGATGCTGAAAATTCAGCTTTGATCACAGAAATAAATTACATTTTACTATATCTTCACATAGAAAACAAGATATTTTAAATTGTAATATTTTTTTTCACAATATTACTGTTTTTACTGTATTTATGATCCAATAAAGGCAGCCTTGATGAGCAGAAGAGACTCTTTCAAAACCATTAAAAAATCTTAATGACCCCAAACATTTGAAATATTTGATAGTGAATATTATTAGATTTATTAGTATAAATTGATTATTTACAGGATACAGGCTGGAAATAAAGAGAGAAAAAGAACTGGCTTTTGTTAGTTTAAACAATATTTACAAGAAAACATGTTTAGTTTGAAATTCGTAAATGTGAAAGCAAAAAAATTAAGAAATATTTTTTCTATTTTATTTTTGGATTAGTTTAGATTAATTTAATTCATAGAAGTTGCACCCAGAGGTATTATAGTTAGCTAAAAAAAAAAATTTAACTAAAATTAAATCAATTTTGTTACTTAAAATAAATGTTAACTGAAATAAATATAACACTAATTACAAAAACACAAAATTACTAAAACTTTAGCTAAAATTAAAATGGAAAATATAAAAATAAAAACTGATTTAAAATGCTACTAAAATATTGTTGTGGGAAAGGTGGTTTCGCTGATTTCTCTCAAATGTCAAAGGTATGTTCAAAAGAGAAATCTACTGTAGTTCATCCAGATCAATGCAAGCTCAACCCGTTTACACTAATCAACATGCATTTGGGAAATTGATGTTGAGATTACTCCAAATTTGTTGAACGAATGGCAAACTGCTTGTCCTATTTTGTTGTATGCATTATGCACACTGTAAGCAGCGTGTGAACTGTTTATATTCATGGAATATATCTGAATGGTCTGCTACATTTGTCAAAATGTAAGTTATACAACCAGAGCACATTGCATGGATTACCGTATCCCACAATGCAATAACCCCGACTTCACCTTCCATTTCAGTTGTGATGCATGAAATATGAAATTATTTTTAAGACAATTTTAGCAAGAAAGCAAGATTATTTATACAGCACATTTCATGCAAAATGATCATTCAAAGTGCTTTGCATAAAAAGGATTTTAAAAAATCATAAAATGATCGCAACAGAGGTATAAAAACAAAGAATAAAATAGATTAAAATGTTTTACACAAAAGTACTTTAAATATGTAAAATGAACTGATATAGATGCAACTGACATGCAAAAACATGCAGTTAATGCAATGTTCATATAGTAATCTAGCATAATTCAGTTTGAAGTGTTCATAATGTTCATTATATTTGTTGTAGTTTCCATTCACCGCTATACAACTTATAATAATAATTCGCCCCTCCACTAATTAAATCGGAGCAGAAAGTCTTAAATGTATAGTCACGGCAATAAATGTTGCATGATTTGCTAAAAATGAATATCTTCCTTAGTATTTTGGTCTTGTTTTCCAGCACAAATATCTAACCATCCTTATATCAACATGCATTTATACTTAAGATGCAAAATGAAGATTTGAAGTCTTGTTTTTTCAGAAATTGAACAGAATTAAGTGAGTTTTCTGAGCCCATTGGCAGATATTTGTTCTTTTATAATTATAAATTCACTTCGTTTTGATCAGTTTCACATAAAACACGACTTCTTATTCTATGTCAAGTACATTTATCTTGATTTAAGAATCTTAAGACATTTGCACCAAAGAACAAGACAAAAATAGACAAAAATGATGAAGAACGACACCTTTTTACAGTGTGTTCAGAAGGTACCGTAAAATTGGAAGTTGTATTGTCAAACTGTGAAGTGTTGCTTATAAAACAAATTATGTTCCTTAAGTTTTCTTTACTCAAAAAGTCTTAAAAAGGTCTTAAAAAAATCTTACATTTACCTTCATAAAACCTGCAAAAGGTCTGATCTAAGTTTTCCCACCTTTTGATAACCCTGAAAATGTAAAAGGCTGTACATACGTTGCAATATGCAGTAAGCAGTTATTTGTTTGTGTGTGATTATTGATTCGTGTAGATGCAGTGTTGTGGTTTGTGTTTGTTCTCAGAGCCGAAAGCCGACGTATCCGCTGCCTCCTCCCAAAAAACCCGGACCGCAGAGACCAGCGCCGCCTCTTTACGGTGAGAAAAGCCTGCCAACATCAAAGTGTGCTTGTGATTTAATATCTCGTTCATCTGATAAGCATGAGAGTGTGTGTGTGTGACTTTTAATTATATAAAAATGCATAATGAGGTTTATCTCGCTGGTTTTATTATGCGGTGAAGAAGAGTGAAATGTAATGTTTATCTGATATAGAAATATTATTATAATATTAAGTGCTTTTTGTGTAACATGCTGACATCTATAACCACATTTAAGAACTGTAATGTCTGGAGCGAAATCTTTAGATTGAATTATTGTTATTTCTAGACATGTTTCATTTGAGCGGAAATGTCAGGGAGTTGTAAGACTAGTTATCTTTATCCAGCTATAACCAGGCCCAGACTCGACAAAAATGTTTGTAAAGCGCTTCTATTTGTTTCTTACAAAATTGTGATTTGAGCCGTATAATTGTATAAATCATCCTTTTAGTGTTGATTGGATGAGCGTCTGGTTATACTTTACCAATGTAATTCAAATGGATTGATTTTGGTCCATGTAAATGTCAGTTATTTTAGAGTTATTTCTATACTAAAATAGTAATTATTAATATTTTTAAATTAGCCTTTATTTATACAATTTTAGTTTAAGTTATAGCACTTTTGTGCTTTTGTCAAAATTCAGAGTTTCAGAATTTTAGTACTTAAGAACTTTTTTAATTACTTATTTCAGTTTACTGCCAATGCACAACATTTCCAATTTGTTTAATTTTTTTTTACATTTTTATATATATATCAAAACTGAATTTTTTTTTATATTAATATATATATATACTTTTTTTTTTTCTTTTTCCCCAGTTTTAGTTTAAGTTTTAGTAATTTTGTTTTGGGCTTTTGTCATTTTTATTAGTTTTTAAATATATAATTTTTTCCAGTATTAATAATTTTTCTAATCATTTTAGCACTTAAGAACTTTTTGTTCTTGAGTTTTTTAAGTAAGCTTTTCATCTAATATTTGCATTTTGTTTGTTTATTTACTGAAATTGTCATTTAATAGTTTTAGTTATAAAATATAATAATATAATATTATAAAAAATTATATTACAGAATTATAAATATTAGTTAGAAAATATATAATATAATAATAATAAACTGGTAAATATTTCGGATAGTTATGTCACATAAGTCCTCTCCTTGTCGCATACCTTGGCAATGCTTTCCAGTCTGTTTGTTTAGTGCAGTGCACCATAGACTTCTATTGTAAGTGCATTATTGCAAGCGCAAGTCCTGATGAATTATTTTCTGTGTTAAAGCCTGATTTATCTTGAAACAGTAGTTTTCTTATAAGTAATCATTGCAGTTTTAATTATAAACACCTTCAGACTTGTAACGCATTTCACAACCCACATCAGACATTTCACCACACACAAACAAACTCAATAAAATGACAGATCATGCAGAGTGAGTCTGATAATGGAAAGACAAACACTTCCCCATTTTAACGATATCGAAGCGCATCAGTGCGCTGTGAGCTCATCGTAGGACAGCTGTGACAGGGAAGATAAGAGTGGGCTTGGCATGAGATATTCAGCTGCTGCAGCGTCACACAGAGAGGAAGAACAGACGACTGCAGGTTTATTTGTCCATAGTTCACCCAGAAATGCAGATTCTCATGTTGTTTCGAACATGTGTGACTTGCCTTCCTGTGTTCACGCTGTGTTTTCCATGCAGTGAACGTATATACAGTACTTGTCAAATGTTTGGAAAATGTTGAGAAAATGAAGTCTCTTCTGCTCAGCAAGGCTGCATTTGTTTGATCAAAAAGACAGTAATATTGTGAAATATTATTACAATTTGAAATAACTATTTCCTATTTAAATATATGTTAAAATGTATTTTATTGCTGTGTTGCAAAGCTGAATTTTCAGCATCATTACTCCAGTCTTCAGTGTCACATGATCTTCAGAAATCACTCTAATATGCTGCGTTGCTGCTCAATTAATATTGGCGCTCAGTTATTAATAATGGTTCTTATTATTATCAATGTTTAAAAAAGTTTTTGCTGCTTAATATTTCGTGGAAACATTTTTTTCAGGATTCTATGATGAACAGAATGTTCAAAAGAACAGCATTCGTTTGAAATAGAAATCTTTTGCGATATTGTAAATGTCTTTGCTGTCACTTTTGATCAATTTAATGCATATTTGCTGAATAAAAGCATTATTTAAAACACAACACACACACACACACATACACATACATTTAAATGGTGGTATATCATGATTTCTGCATAAATATTCAGCAGCACAACTCTTTTCAACATTGATAATAATCAGAAATGTTCCTTGAGCAGCAGATCAACATATTAGAATGATTTCTGAAGGATCAGTTGTAATAATATTTCACAATTTTATTGTTTTTACTGTATTTGTGAGCACATAAATGCAGCCTTGGTGAGCAGAAGAGACTTCATTAGAAACATTTACAAATCGTAATGTTTCCATACTTTTGACAAGTACTGTAGTCATACAAATTCAGGTTGTGAATGGAGTAAATAATGACAAAATGTAATTTAGGGGTAATAATAGAGTAAATAAGGGTGTTTTTCCTAGAAGAGATTGCTTTGTTTGTGTATTTGCAAGATTTGCATTCGTGAGAAAGTCTGTTTGTGATTTCACACGTGCAAATGTGTACACAACATGACTCTGTGTGTGTGTGTGTGTGTGTGTGTGTGTGTGTGTGTGAGAGGTCCTGTAAACTCAGCCTTGATGACCTGCATGCACATATAGAACGAGCGAATCCGGAATCACATCATCAGAGTGTGTTGTCAGCCTCTGTTTTGGTCGAGGCTGTGAATCACGGTTTCCTGCGGCGTTATCAGCACTGTAGAGGTTACCCGGCCTCTAGCATGACTCTGACCATTTATACATTTACCTGATGCTTTTATCTAAACACGAGGAATTAAAGGGATTCGTCCTACAAGTTCTGCGATTGTTCAGATGGGGAAAATATAGAGGTTTTTGGGTTAAACGCTTTACTATAAGGTTGCATTTGCTAACATTAGTTAACTACAGCATGAACTAACAATAAAAAAATACTTCTAAAGCAGTTGTTAATCTCAATCTATTTTCTGTTTTCATTTAAAATTTTGTTAAATATATATTGTTGTACTTCATTTATAGAGCTTTTCGAGAGATATATATATATATATATATATATATATATTATATACATATATAAAAATGTTTGACATAAAGAGCACGAAGAGCATGAAAAATGTATATAATGCAATACAATTTTTACATTTAAATTTATTTTACTATTAAAATGTATATACTATAAAATTTAAATAATTTAATTATAATGAGTAATTACAAAAATGTTTACGATATTAATTGTCACGATCATTAGATCATCACAGTAATAAAAAATTTGTAAATTTAAAAAATCAGTATAAAAATAATTAATTGTTTATTAAATAATAATAATAATAATATAAGTATACTAATAGTATGTATATATAATTAAAATGGATGATTTGTAAATAATTAAAATTAATATAATTATTAATTGTAAATAGATTTGCTATATAGTATATATCACGTAATGTGAGAGAATATACTTAATAATTGTTTAATTCATTATTAATTATTAATTTGGTAATTATTAGAATTAGTCTGTGTTCATACTGGGCCAAATACATTTATTAATTTATAAACAGCTGGGTGATATAAACAATATAAACAATTAAGACAGATTAATTATCAATTCTAATATAGATGTATAACTATAAATAGATTTGCTATATTGTATGTACTTTACATGAGTCGACGTGCTTATAGTGGTTGTATAATTCATTGTTAATTATTAGAAGTGTCTGTGTGCACATTCGTATGTTTCAGGCTCAAATGCATTTTTAGGTAAATATCTGAATTCGGAGATACTCATGAGTTTGTTTTGCACATTGAGCTCCAGACTTTCTCATGAACGCACTGAAGTCACCTGTAACAGCAGCATGCGTGTTTACGCTCTGCATTCAGGGCTTTTACGTTGGGACTCTTCACAGCGAGGTGTTTACACTACTAATTCTCTCTTGTGTTTGCTGCAGGGGATTGTTTAGTGTTGATTGTGGTGTGTTTATTGCTATAACAGGCACAGAAAGGGCATGGGTGGGGCGCTGGTAGTTTCACTACTATCTCTGAGTTAAGAAAGAAAAAAGCTCTTCCTCTCCATGGCACATGAGGCCTGTGTAGTGGTGAGAGAGATATAGAGAAGTGAGTTCCTCTAAAGTTCGCGGTTCACACCCTTACAACTGAGCACCAGTGTTCCCACGGCTGGCTAAGTATGTTTATGCCAGGTTCTCACACTCCTCGGGTGTAAATGCTGTAAGTTTCTGATCTCTGTGACCCTTTGTGTGTTCTCTTATGTGTTTGCACTCTGAATGATCCTGCTGAGCACTTCATACAGAATATTAATGGTGCAGATTTCACATATAAATGTCACTGTCATTCCTTAGTAAGCCGCTTTAATGCTTTAATGCATTTCTTTTTCAGGTGAATCTCATGAAAAAATAAATTGGTCATATTTTATCCCAAAGTCTAATTTGAATTCTTCCTAATTTTAGGAAGATTTTTGCATTGTGACATTTAAGCTGCTTAACACATTTTACCCCTAAAAAATAAATATATATATTTTTTTACTATTGAAAGTTTACTTTTAAGTTTTTTGTTTTTAGTGTTTTGTTTGTTGTTGTTTTGGCAATTATTCACAAAAGTGGTCATCATTGCTGTAATTCAGCATTTACTGTACTGTAATACAATAATATGTAAAGTGTTTAAAACATACAAAAACTATTTTAAATGTAGTACAAAATAAAATGTTTTAATTGCATTAATGAGTTTAATTGCCACGTAATCACAGCCCATATCTATCTATCTATCTATCTATCTATCTATCTATCTATCTATCTATCTATCTTCTATCTATCTATCATCTGTCTGTCTGTCTGTCTGTCTGTCTATCTGTCTATCTACCTGTCTATCTATCTATCATCTGTCTATCTATCTATCTGTCTGTCTGTCTGTCTATCTACCTGTCTGTCTATCTGTCTATCTACCTGTCTGTCTATCATCTGTCTATCTATCTGTCTATCTACCTGTCTGTCTATCTATCTGTCTATCTGTCTATCTACCTGTCTATCTATCTATCATCTGTCTATCTATCTATCTGTCTGTCTGTCTGTCTATCTATCCGTCGTTCTATCTATCTATCTACATTTACATTTACATTTAGTCATTTAGCAGACGCTTTTATCCAAAGCGACTTACAATTGGGGGATACATAAAGCGATTCTTCTTAAAGAGGCAAACAGACACAAGAAGTGGTTGTAATACCAAGTTCTTAGACATTGTTCAAATAAGTACAAGCTAGAAAGAGAAGGAATAAATAAAGAGAGATACATTTTTTTATTTTTTTTTATTTTTTAGATCTATCTATCTATCTATCTATCTATCTATCTATCTATCTATCTATCTATCTATCTATCTATCTATCTATCTATCTATCTATCTATCATCTGTCTATCTATCTATCTGTCTGTCTACCTGTCTATCTACCTGTCTGTCTGTCTGTCTATCTACCTGTCTGTCTATCTGTCTATCTATCATCTGTCTATCTATCATCTGTCTGTCTACCTGTCTATCTACCTGTCTGTCTATCTATCATCTGCCTATCTATCTATCTATCTATCTATCTATCTATCTATCTATCTATCTTTCTATCTTTCTATCTGTCTGTCTGTCTGTCAGACAGTAATTGTTTTTATAAAAAATAATTTAAAAAACATTACAACAGGTATTTTGCATTTAAAATTTATATAATACAATTTACAATTAAATTTTTACATTTACATTTTTCACAATTATAATTTTGCAAATAATATAATATTGTAAAATAATATAATAAAAAATAAATAAAAAAATGTTTAATTACAGTAATGAGTTGAAATGCATATTTCTTAATTGTCACTCTCATTAGATCATCACAGTAATACAATGTTTTTATTTAAAAAATCTACAACAGGTATTTTACAATTCAAAATTATGCAACACAATTCACAATTACATTTAAGTTTATTGTACAATTACGATTCAGTTTTAATATTAAAACATATTTCATTACAGTAATGCATTTAATTGCATACCTATTGTTGCTGCTTGTTCTTGACAGGTTTTGTGAGATTCACCATATCCATATCTCATATCGAGCTCATTTAAATCTCGTTGGTTGTTATAGTGGGTTGTGGTTGGTGTGGACAGTTTTTAAAGGTTTGTAAATTCTGCTTATAGTTTGAAGAAATGAAACTTTTGCAGTGGTGTTGGTGCACCGCTGGTGAATATAGGCCTTTTTTTACATCCTCAATCTAATCTAATAAATGTCAGCCGCTGCAGACCATCTAAAGCACTCGTTAAGTTAATTAAACGTCTGCTCCAAAAGATAGGCAGGAACATTATAGTAACTTCTAAGATGCCTCATTTTGTCCAAATTGTAAGGCAGCGTCACATTGAAACTTTGAGGAGAAAACAATCCCAAAATGCATTGCAGTGAGCTCACTGAAAGAGAAATATTGATTATAAATATTATTATTATATATTATAAATATTTTTTTATTGTTATTAGTAGTGTTTTTATTGTTTACATTTTTATATTATTCATTATTATTTATTTTAAATATACTTATTTCATGCAATAGCAAATATAATGCATAACAAGTTCATATAATCAATAATGTACTGTTTTACTCAATATTTGGGTTTGTGCATGCTAGAATAAGGAATATAGTTTGAGCCTGATGGAGCGGCTGAATTCATGTGCACTTTTACATTTGGGTTTCTTCAGTTTTCTTGATTGCTGCCACTTCTTTTTTCCACATATCAAGGGTGTCCTGCATCTAGAAGCCTTTTATTCAATTTGTGAAGGTCTTGTTCATCCAGGTTATCACATAATTTGAACAAAAGCAACTGAACTTTGTTAAAGCAACTGCATTTAATACAGATGTTTTGTCTTCATTAGTTGATCAAAATCATTTGATCTGTCCTGCTGATTAATAGCCATAATATTAAACAGCAATAATAAATAGCCAATCATCATTTTTATTAGTGCTTTTATTTGATTAAATTTTGATAAACCGTTGTTCAAATCATGTGAGATGCACTGTCAGAATAATAAAGTTCAGCTGCTTTTGACTGAATTCTACAGCACTTTTCATGATTTTAATGATCTGTTCCTGTACCTGAACTGTTCTGTTGGTGTTTGGGTCTCATCTTTGTTTTCTTTGACACTTTCAGGGAAGAATAGCAGCTCAGGGGTTCATAGTCAAGGGTTTGGTGCTCCAGCCGTTCGAAAGACGCATATGGACAGAGGACCCGTCTCCTCGTCCTCAACGTTACGGTCTGCGGTTAACCCGCCCTCAGCGTTAACAGACTTTAGGGCTGTAAGTCCAGTGTCATGCCGTCTGATCGTCTCCATCTAGAGCTAGTTTCTGCTATTGTAGTTTGTAGTTGCATCCGCTTCGTCCTGACATTTGCCATCGCTGCTTCCTGCGCTGCTGTTTTGCCCGTTTGCATTGTCCTGCGCATGCTAATGCAAGAATAATGCCCCGCTTTACACCGAAAAAGAAAATGTGCTAAAAATGTGCTCACCCTCAGGCCATCCAAGATTAGGATGAGCTTGTTTCTTCATCAGATTTGTAGAAATGTAGCATTGCATCACTTGCTCACCAATGGATGCTCTGCAGTGAATGGGTGCCGTCAGAATGAGAGTCCAAACAGCTGATAAAAACATCACAATAATCCACACCACTCCAGTCCATCAGTTAACGTCTTGTGAAGCCAAAAGCTGAGTGTTTGTAAGAAACAAATCCATCATTAAGACGTTTTAACTTCAAACCGTTGCTTCCAGGTAAAATATGAGTCCTCTATTGATAACATTGTGAAAAAGTGGTCTGGTCTGAATCGGGAGAGAAATCTGCACAGATAAAAAACTCTGTTTACAAGCTAAAACAGTCCAAAACAGCTCTAAACAAATTTGTGGCTGGATTTTGATTTGAGAGACAACAGGAGATGGACTTTTTCACTGGAGAGCGTCATTATGGATTTTAGACTGTTTTTTGGTCAGAAGCAATGGTTTGAAGTTAAAAACGTCTTAATGATGGATTTGTTTCTTACAAACACGCAGCTTTTGTCTTCTCAAAATGTTAACTGATGGATTGGAGTGGTGTGGATTATTGTGATGTTTTTATCAGCTGTTTGGACTCTCATTCTGACGGCACCCATTCACTGCAGAGCATTCAATGCTGAGCAAGTGATGCAATGCTACATTTCTCCAAATCTGATGAAGAAACAAACTCAACTACATCTTGGATGGACTGAGGGTGAGTACATTTTAAGCAAATGTTAAATTTTGGGTGAACTACTCCTTTAAAGAGATATTTAATCATTTATTCATCATTTATTCACCCTCTTGTTGTTCTAAACGTGTACAAGTCAGTAGTCCATACAGCTTGGGCACTATAATGTGTTTGCTATCAAATGCCTTCAGAGCACACTTTTATGGTGCTTCTTGGAGCGACATGGAAACAAAGCATTGATCTGTAGTTGAAGGGTTTAAAAACTGATGATGCAGCTGAACAGAAGCAACAAGAGGAAGTTCTGTTGCGGAACCAACCCTTTGTTGAAGATTGAACCAGGCAGCCTGTTTGTTTTGAGCCAAACCTTTGATTTCCATCGAACTGGACTCATGAACACAACTTCTGTTTCATCCATAACAGGGTTGAAGATAAAAGTCAGTTTATTTGTCTTATCCCGATAGCTGTTTATTGTTTTAGACATAAATCTCACTAACCATTTATGCTTTGAACAGGATATAACAATTTTCTAATAAGGCACAAAAATAAATTTAATTCCAGATACATTCTCTGAAAGCAGGTCTGTTATGTATTTTGTTTTAAGGATGTCTAAATGTTTTTTAACGAGTAAAAAAGAAAAGAAAAAAAGTCTCTTCACTAGTTTCTGCAAGAAGTTTAACACCATCTTTCCTGTGCAATATTACTTTCTTTGACTCTCTCAATGATTTCATAATTCAGAAAACGGCATACAGTATGAAAACGACTTGAATAATCATGACTCTCATTGTAAGAATAATACTTTAGGATCGTTTTAAATGGCCTTTCACATTCCTGAAGTACACTAAAGTGACCTTACAAACTCATCCTGACAATATGACCTCAGAATGACACTTTGGTCTAGAAAAGGGAGAAGCTTTTACCAAAGCACTTCCTGTTTTCTGACACAAAGTGGCAGCTGGTTTCACCACAGTGTCACAGTTACTTTACGCTGTTTTTGCAATTTATATATTTAAAATAATATGCTTTTTGAATCAATATATGAAATCACTCTCAGTGGAGTTAGGCATATTTGCTAGAGAAGATACTGAGTTGCATTAATTGTGCATGTATCAATGCTAAATTGTTTTGCACAACCTTATTAGATCATATCAGGAGTAAACCGTTAGAATTGAACTTCAGTAGTTCAACATCTATCATTCAGGTCAAATCCAGGTCAACCTGTGTTGCATGGCGTTTGTGTGCTGTGCAGATGCAGTTTGCATGTTGCATGAGGCTTTGTGTTGTGTATGCCGTGCTTCTTGTGTCTTCAGAGCTGTGCTGTAATTTGTCTTTCTCCCAGGCACCGAACACATGAAGGTAAGGTGAAACGCGGGTCTGCCGACCACATCTGAGCTGCTGCATGTGTTTGTGTCGGCCATAAAACACCTACTCCACCCTGCGTGCACACAAATCCTTTCACAAATCACTTTGAGAAATCAGACCGTATATTGAAGCCCTTTCAAACAGCAGCAGCAAATGTAAGACCAGCCGACCAACCGCAGTGAGAAAAGAGCCAACATATTGTTCACTTAGGCTTTGAAGCATTGAAGATTGCTACAATAAAGAAACTGTTTCATTGTATGAAGTATTTGGACACTGAAATTGCACTTAAAAATGTCTGAAAGATCAAGTGTTTGCATTTATATGAATGTAAAATAGCACACTCTTCAAGCAGATGTGATATAAAGATTGAAAAAATGGTTTTGTATAGTTTTTTGTCATGATTTGGTAACTTTTAATTAGAAAGTATGTTTTTGCATCCTCCTTTACTTTAAATGATATTCTATTATCTAATGCAAACACATTCAGATACATTATTTGTGATTTAAGTGACCAACTACTTCTAGGTCCTCCTCTAATAAGTTTATTCTGTGTGATTTTGTAATGGATCTCGTGATGATTTACCTTCATTCACTGCGTGTTGGGTCACTGGTGACTTACATTTGATGCAAACCAAAGGCTTCACAACTTTGGTTGTTTTCTTTGCTTTCAATCACTGATGATGTAAATGATCCTCAGTGTGTTTTTGACCAATTAAAAAAGAATTAAAGTCACGTCAGATTAGATATGTTACTGTATATAAATTTGCACAGATCACTTGTGCTCACGTGGAATAATGAGTGATTTTTAGCATTGAACAAGGCTGGGCGATGTATATTAAATAGTCAGTATATATTCATAATGCTTTTATTGGTAATATAAATTTAAGCAGCATCATGAATATTGTGGTGGTTTTAATGTGCTTTTTTGGCTGTTAAGTAGGGCTACAGGATTAATTGAAATAAAATCCATTATTTCCATAAAATTAAAAGTTTGATGGTTTAACATTTTGAAAACGAAGAAATTAAGACTTTTGTTATTTTTTAGTTATATAATTTTTTGTTAAATATGCAATTTTTATCTTGCAGTGATATTACAATAGTATTTTCTAGTCATTTTATTTTTATATGTTTTTATATTAGATTTTTTGGGGGATTTTTATATTTTTATTTAGCAATAATTTCCTCTAATATAATAGTAATAATTATTATTATTATTGACATTATCAACACATACAGTATGGTCAATATATATTATACAGACATATTTATATATATAATAATAATCACAAACTGTTGGCCAAATTGTGCAGGATTTAAAAATATCTATCACAATTTTTATCAGAATTTTTTTTTTTACCCCCAAATTGTGCAGCACAAATAAGTTTGTGAAAACATGTCTTGATTATTTTACCTATGTTTTTACTTCTATATATATATATTACTTCTTTGATTAAACATATTAAATCTACAAGTTATTGTTTGTTTTTAAAAAATAGACTTCTAAAACATTTCAGAGCAAATGCATACATATCGAGATCATCAAGGCCGAAAGATCGAAAGATACCAATATATATATCTTTTTTGGTGTATATCGGGCAGCCCTACAGTGATGCATTCTGCTGTGTGTGTTGAATAGTAGTTTCTATAATGACATTTGTTTTCTGGTTCAGCTTGGAAGTGAGACGCAGCAGCTGGAGTGGGCGAAGCGTGAGAGTCAGAGAGAGGAGGCGGAGCGAATCCGGAGGCTCCGCCTACAGGAGCAGCAGGAACTGGAACTGGCTCTGGCTCTCAGTCAAGCCGAAATGCCCAGAACGTGAAGCTTCAATCCTTCAGTGAGACTCACCTAAAACCTTCAGATCAAGCTTTTGCCCCAATCACACGCTCTTCCTGAAGATCTCTCAGGTTTGCTGTAGCGATCACTGAAACAATTAAGTACAACAAAACCAAAGGTCAAAGTTACAGATTCACTTCACACATTTGCTCATGAAATGCACAAAATGCTCAACCACTCTATTATGCTTTAAAAAATATTATATACAGCTTCACCAAATACTGTAGGAGCAGCTGGAGATCATGTAAGTGAGATCTTTTCAGCCTTAAGTCATTTATTAATGCACAGAAGTCTCATAATAAATATCAACCCATGGCCAATGTCGGTTTTGCAAAGCCAAAAGTGCTTTATGTCTCAGTGTCTTTAGGACCTTAGTTTGACTATGATCAGCTTCAAATCTCAACCAGACGTTTGGTTTAATAAGAGGGATGAATTACTAAATGCATGACATTGTCCACCATCGGCCCACTTTATGATCATATATGATGTCTGTATTTACATATAAACCTGCATAATCAATGCATTCCCGACGATGCATGAAGATCAAATGAAGCATATTTAGTTTTTGAAGGAACCCGTTTTCATTTGGGTTTTGCACTGTTCGTATGAGAGTGAGATGATGTAATAATGACTCTGTCTGTATTGTTGGTGTTTAACCCTTTAAAACTTCCTCTAGATGACACTAGATCACACAAACCAGCACTCCTGAAGGAGCTCTGCCCACTTTCATCTGGTTTTAACCCTTTTCTAGCCTTGCCTTGAAGTGAAGCCTTATACTGTATATTGAACTTGTTCTTATTATGTATCGATATATTTATTGCATCTGTGATACTTAACACTAAAATCAGCAGGTTATGGGTTGTTTATATGCTAGAGAAGGAAACTCTGGTGTGTACAGTATATGGGTTTGGTTTTCTCTTTTATCATTTTGAAGATTCTACTGACATTCCGTGTTTTTATGTGTTTTGGTTTTTTTGGTGGTAAAAATGATTTTACAATGTGCTGCTTTTCAACGTTTTAATAAATGTCAAACATATTTATCTGAATCCACTATAAATTGATTATTTTTCTTTTAAACGAAGAACATATTGCAGCCGTTTCATCCCAAATATCAAAGGAAATTGTGTATTTATTTTTTTAATTAATTATATTTAAAAGTTCAAATATTTTAAAGAAAGGGCTATCATATATAATTCTATTCTATTGATTGATTGATTGAAATATGACCTGGACCTCATTTAGGAAATTCATCCACCAATAATATTTTAGTGGTATTTATATAGTGTTTATATATATATATATATATATATATATACAGTAGTCAACATTTGAAGTGGATCAAATCTGTCCTAAGACAAAAACGCATTTTGGTTTAAGGTTTTAGGACTACTTTGGTGAAAGGTTTTGATCCACTTCAAATGTTGACTATAATTTATTATTTTATTTATATATTTTTTTCAATGTTTAATTCCTTTAAATTTGAAAGAAAATAAACCTTTGAGGCCATTATGGTAAATATTTTGATTTTCAATTTTAGACATTTAAATAAACATTCGATATTTATGCATTTGGCAGACGATTTTGTCCAAAGAAACTTATTGCATTCACTGTTTACCGTTTTATCAGTTTATGCATTCACTGGAAATTGAAGCCATGGACTTGGTGTTGCAAGATCTACATGATCTGGTCTGCATTCGTGCAACTTTAAATTGAAAGACAAATATGAAATAAAGAAGCTGCAGTTTTCAATATCTGCTTTTAAAATCGGCAAGTTAATAGTGAGTTTCTGCCGTCAGTTGCCAAAACAATCAGACGGTTTGAGCTGCATTCAGATCAGATCCGTGTGCACCTGCAACACTTCATATCTGCTCATGTTAGCAGCTTCTGTACACTGAGCTTAACCGTCTCTATTCATGCAATATCTAGTATGTGTTGTACTTGTTGAGCTGTGCTGCACTAATGATGGATGAGCTTCTATCAGACGTTTGTCTTTTGCAAATGCTCTGTGAACGGTTTCAGCAAATTGCTGAAAGACTGGGATCTAAGTGTGAAAATAATTTAACAGCTGCATGAATTTGAGCTTCGGTATGTTAATTACCCCCATTTGGAATAACAGGAAATTCCTCCGTGAGTTTTTATTTACTGGAGGCCGCTGAAAGAGCTGATTTTAAGATGGACAAACGAGACGGGCTCAGGTGACAGAAACACGAGGCTTTCCTCACTTGTGTTTTTCTTTGCACTCGATCGCTCACCTACTTAACCGTCCACACGTGCGCTTCGTTTAGAGGCCTTGCCAGACATTCTTGTCTAGTCTTTGGATTTAGTTGTGGTTTTAGTGCTGAGGGATTACTGACCAGCATGGATGTGTTCAGGACCGCGCACTATATTATCATATATTTACTCCTAGAGCCATTTGGAGTATGAATACTGTGCAAGCAATGCGCTTGATATTTGACCTTTCATTTCCATTTTTATATATCTTTCGTATGGAAGCCGTTTCCGCCATGGAATAATTGCGACTTTTTATCTTCTTTTTAATTTTTATATGACGGGCTCAGGTGACAGAAACACGAGGCTTTCCTCACTTGTGTTTTTCTTTGCACTCGATCGCTCACCTACTTAACCGTCCACACGTGCGCTTCGTTTAGAGGCCTTGCCAGACATTCTTGTCTAGTCTTTGGATTTAGTTGTGGTTTCAGTGCTGTGGGATTACTGGCCAGCATGGATGTGTTCAGGACCGCGCACTATATTATCATATATTTACTCCTAGAGCCATTTGGAGTATGAATACTGTGCAAGCAATGCGCTTGATATTTGACCTTTCATTTCCATTTTTATATATCTTTCGTATGGAAGCCGTTTCCGCCATGGAATAATTGCGACTTTTTATCTTCTTTTTAATTTTTATATCTTTTTAATGTTTATCTCAATTATATATGAATTCCGAGTTTATATCTAAAAATGGACTTTTCTTTTTTTTGCAATTATGAGTTTATATCTTGCTATTCCGACTTTTTTTTATTTGCATTTATTTCTCACAATTCTTGGTTTATATCTTGCAATTCTGACTTTAGTCTTGCTTTTTATATCTCACAATTCTTAATTTTGTTCTTGCAATTCTGACTTCTCTTGCGATTTTCTTGCAACTTTTTTCTTACATTTTTGAGTACATATTTATATGTACTTTTTTGAGTACAATTATGAGTTTATATCTCATTTCTGACTTTTCTCACTGCAATCTTGCTGTGATTTTGTGTCTTGCAATTATGATTTAAAAATTTGAGATATAAACTTAGAATTTAAAAAAAGGTTACCTTATCTAATTATCTAAAAATGTATTTATTTTAAGTCTTTTAGTGGAAACAAGCTTATATATTTTCATAATCAGACTACCAAAAATAGAGATAATTGCATGCGAAATTGGATAAAAAAATTTAACATCACACTGCAAAAAATGATTTTCTTACTTAGATTTTTTGTCTTGTTTCCAGCCAAAATATCTAAAAGAAAATCTTAAATCAAGAAGGATTTTCTAGATTTGTTTTCTGTTTGAAATAAGATTATTTTGCTTAGCCCACTGGCAGATTATTTTGCTTGTTTCATTTTGACATGTTTTTTTCTGAAAAGACGATTTTTACTTGTCTAGAAAATTTTTAGATATTTTGGCTGGAAACAAGACAAAAAAATCTAAATAAGAAAAGCATTTTTTGCAATGCACTGTATTTATTTGCATGATAACTAGATGTCACTCTCTGAATTAATATTCATTATTTAGTTTGAAACGTGTCCTTGCATACTGTTGTTTTAAAAGTAATTGTCAGTATTTCTCATCTCTAATAGACTAGTTCGTGACTGTATAGACGGGGATCTTTATTTCTGCTTTGAAAGCTGTTGAATTGCAGTAATCACGGTAAACACAGCCCTTTATATTTGCTTTGCTTTGATGGGGGAAAAAGAGAAGCTTGTTTTTTTCTGTTCATGTCAGATTGGTAGTAAAAGTTACTATCATCAGCACACAAAAGTGAAATGAGATTTCTACTTCACTGAGTCGCTAATAATAGTCAGGATCACATTTCTTCTTTTCGTCTCGAATTTACATGAAAGGGAACTCTAGTGCCGTTTTCACACATTATTCACAAATGCAGAACAAGTTCAACTCGTGGAAAACAAAAGCAGAGCTGAATGCTTTATTTAGACATGTTTTGACATTCAATAGGAATTTAATATGCTTTGCATGCACATATAATTGATATATAAATCATATTTTTATTTTTATATAGAATATTCATTTATATTTTTGAATGTTTGAATTATACTTTTTTTTTTTTTTTTACATTATTTTAATTTATTATTTTTATAATGATGAACTGGGGCATATCTAAAACATTTATCTAAATGTCCATGTTTCTCTGTTATAAAATATACAAAAATAGCAATAATATACCATTTGTAGGTGTGTCTAAATAGTACTTTATATATAATTTTTTTCTTTTTTTTTTTTTAAATCTCAGAATGTTTTTTCTAGTCTTTCTGCCCCAATGTAAAATGAGCTGATGCTTAACAAATATTTTTATAAAATATGCAAATTTGGGATTTTATCTTCCATGTTGGACATCAAAGCGCCCCTGGAGTCTCTTTGATGTCCGTGTCTTTTCTGCGTCTCTGGAGTCTGGGATCTTCAGCCGAGCGCCCCTCCGTCCAGACGGATCTAAATTCTCTCTCTGTAATTATGTAAATGTAGTGTTTGTATTTATAGGCAGAAGCCACAGGCTGCTGGCCTCAACCTGACGCAGCTGGAAAGCATCTTGGTCTAAACTATAATACCTGACTCCACGAGCTTGAGTGGGGGTTCAAGAATAGCACTCGTGCGATGTCCCTCGCTCGCCATAAACGTCTCCAGTTTCTGGGGACTTCGTTTTCCAGTGGCTTCAAAGGAGCCCGTAATAAGAGACTAGCAACCGACATCCAATAGATCAGACCCAACATGACAGGCAAAGACGAGAGACCCGATGGATATATATATTCAAATTTAGTTTAATATTTACAATAAATACAGTACTTACAATATAAAATGTATGTACACAATCTTATAAAAACCCAGGACCTCTAGCCCTAGTGCATAGGGTGCGACGAGGCACTGACCACTCAATGTGCATCAAGATACAAGACGTTTGAAAAGAAATGCCAACACATTTGAACACACAGCTGTTTTGTTGCATAGTAGCAAGGCAGTTTCAAGAGCAAAACATTGTCGTCGTGCATTTTACACTTTTACATCAGAAAACTGGAGGTTTGCTAGTCGTCAGGCTTTGCACTCTTCGTGGCTTCAGAAAGGCACCGTTAAACATACATGCTGTCTCCCGATCGGATACAGATTCATAGGACCAGCCCTTCAGGATGCATATTACCCATAAAAGGCTTTAAAAAGAGCTCAATCTATGTAGTACCAGCTACTTGTTACAAAAGTACACTCGTAAAAATAAAGGTAGTTTTTTTGGCATCAACAGTTCCATAAAGAACTTTCAACATCAATGGAACCTTTTCAAGGATCTTTATATGTTCTTCAAATGGTTCTTTCACTGAAAGGTTCTTTGGGAACCAAAAATGGTTTCTTTGGAACCTCTTAAAAATAAAGGTTCTTTATTGGCAACAACCTTCAATTTCAATGGAACCTTTTCAAGAATCTTTATAGGGGAAAAAGTTCTTTAAATGTTCTTCAAACAGTTCTTTCACTTAATGCTTCTTTGGGAACTAAAAATGGTTCTTGTGGAACCTTCATTAAAACTTTTTTAAAGGTTCTTTATTGGAATCGATGGCTCCATAATAACCTTTAACATCCATGGAACCTTTCCACTGCACAAAAAGTTCTTCAGATTATTAAAAAGTTCTTTTAAGGACTGATCACTGAAAGGTTCCAAAAAATGGTTCTTTTGGAACCTTTATTTTTAACAGTGAATGTTCTTTAGATGTTGTTCAAATGATATTTTAGGACACTGAAAGGTTCTTTGGG